ACTCGCCCCACCTGTCAACCCTCTGACGGAATGGACTCGCCCCACCTGTCACCCCTCTGACGGAATGGACTCGCCCCACCTGCCACCCCTCAAATCAAATGGACTTGACCCATTTGTTACACTTCAAAAAGAATTCTTTTCATGTCACCCACATCTATGCAATCACTCAAACCAGACTCCTATGAAACTATAAAACAGTCATTCCAGTGTGATATTTATTTATTTATTTAGAACATCTTTTGCAACAGAAAATCATGGTGAGGAACTATAATAAATATAAATATATGCACACTTAGATAAACACAGACTCTAGTCAAATAATTTTAAAAAATATGAATTACTCACATTTGGAAAATGTCGTTTGGACTTGCATTGGTACTTGTTCCTAATACTTTCTCTATTTGTACTGGAATTTCAATACCAGTATTCACGTTTTATACTTAAAGAAACCAATATCGAATTTAAAAAGGGCGTCGAGCTATATTTAAAATTCAAGAAAAAAAATATGTCAATTTTTTCCATGGACATTTGAAAGTATCATTAGTACTGTATGTTGTGTATACAGTTATTGCTGTATACAGGATAGACCAAGGTGCGGCGTGCTTTTTTTTATTTGAGCAGACATGATACATCTTAAAATTGGCAGATCCAGAATTTATATATATATTTTGTGACATACTACACTGCATAATTCTAAACTTGATTTCAGCACAAAAATGGTAAATTGCAACACTTATTTGTACAAAGTCAATTTTTTCTTTTTGTTTCAATTTGAAGGTACGAAATATATTTAAGATAGAGAAGACTGTAGTTAATATTACTTTGGCTTTTATGTCTTAGATCGCCATTCACAGGATCAGGCAGAGAACACATACAAATTTAATTTGAAAAGGGAACATGATCGACCACATTTTTGAAAAACAAAGTATGTTCAAATCTGATATGCACATGGTGTAGTCCTAAAATTTTTTGACAGTCGCAATAAAAACGTATACCATTTTGGCCATATTACAAGTGCGCTGCGTGTTGGTTCGAGCGCGTCAGTGCGTGCGTGTGTGCCTGTGCAAGGTTCCAAAATCCGACTAGGAGGCTTTGGAGGATTCTATCAGTCAGAAGCACGTGTATTTTGCAGGATCACCGCAGAGTTGACAGTTCTGAAAAATCAAAACAGTGTGTTAATTACGCTATTAAAATGATATCCCAATGCAATGCAATTTGAACTGAGATAAAAAAACGCATTAATTTTAAAGGAATTTATTCGAACTATTCCACAAATCTTACAAATTAAACGCATTACACACACCAGCAATATTAAACTAAAATCACAACAGGGAAGATGTATGTAAATTATTATCCTGACACTTGCTTCAGTTTTCTGCGTCACATGCTATATGTAACCTTATTGTACATAAAGGGAAACCGTAAACTACAAGGTGCGGCGGGGGGGGGGTATATTTATGATAACTACAGTCAACAACTACAACATCGGGCGACTTGAGGTCTTACCTGCGGTATGTGTAACTGCCCGTAACACTCTTTATTTGTTTTCATTTATTTATGGGAGTCATTTATCTATTATTTTATTATCATTATTTTTTTCTTTTACGGTATGTCCTACATGTATATTATTTCCGCCAAGGGGGTAATGTTTTCGCCCCTGTTTGTCAGTCATCAACATAATTCAAAAAGTTATGAACCGATTTTGATGAATTTTTCAGGAACTGTCAGAAGTGAACCAAGAAAGATATGATTAGTCTATGGTGGTGATCCGAATCAATAATCAATCAATAATCAATAATATTTTTAAAAAAATGCTGCCTTGGCGGAGGTCTGCGCTGTCGGAGTGCTTTTCTAGTTTATATATTATTCACATGGACTGATTTTCCTTTCTTTCACGTTTGCCCTCCTTTGCTTTCTCTCGCTCTACTAATTATAACGTTACAGGCCACCGCGCATACCTAACCGCACCGTCACATGCCTCTGCNGCCGGCGCCGGCGCCTTGTTTTAATAGAAATTTAAGTATAATGACAGATAATGATCTAGTTGTAGAATGATGTGCATTTAAGTACTTTGACATGTTTCTATTACATGCAAGAGTGTTAAATATTTTAATGCAAAGCAAACTAAATACAGATTATTTTAAATACTCTAATGTTTGACTCTATTTCAGATGTTTCAGATAATTCAATCAAAAATTTTGAAGACAATACAATAGATGGACATAAAAAGAGATCTATCAACTCCGACTTGAAGAAAAGGCATAAAGATCTTAAGATGGATTATGAAAGGCTAGAATTTTTGGCTAAAAAAGTACCTGATGGTGAAACGAAATTCACTGAACCAAAAGTCCACGAATTGTGGATGCAGGCTAAACAGGTTGACTTTAGTCCAGAAGAATTAGTAGCATTTGAGGTAATTGGAACTTAAGAAAATCACTGAGAAGTTCCAGGGGCCGATCCAGAGATATTTTCTGACAGTCTTCCCAATTATCTTTGTCGATCTATTCTCTATTTTAGACCATCTTAAGACTGAAAAAATTAGATTCCCGTCAATGTAAACTTTAAAATTTGACCGTCTTACGGAAGACCCAGAAGACATGGTTACCAGGCAAATTATTGTTTATGAGTTATAAAAAAAAGACTATCAAAGGTTCATGAAAACTGTCCTTTCTTTACTTTTTATAAGTTTAAAATAAAATATGTTTTTTTTCCTATACAGGAAGAACTCAGGCATTTTGAGCATAAACTGAAGAAACATGCTGATATGACAAAGGAATTTGAAGAAACCGTCAAGGATTATAAAAAGAGTGGCAAAGACATCCCTTTGAAAGTTGAAAAAATGGATGAGAAAAATAGGGACTATGCCAAAAAGGTAAATGTATATAAATAAATGCAAGTATGGTTTGTCTGCTTCAACTTTAGAGTTTTTTTAATTGTATGAAAAATTTTACAACTGTAAATGATGTAAGTACTAGGGAATTCATAATGTTAAAAGTGGTTGGCATCTTTATGTAGTATAAATAAGTAGTACATTGTAAAATCACTGTTTAGTCCATTCTTGGTAAATAGCATAACAATATATGTTCATATTTCTTATAGATAAAGAAGCATCACACAGAGCTGCAAAGGAAAATAGACAAGAGACACATAGAGTTATAGCCTTAATACATACCAGCTGCCAATGATTTGATCTTTTTCTTATTTTAGATATATTAATACATCAAGTTAGAACCAAATATTTGTATTATGGTAATAATTAATCAAGGAAGTGAATTCAATCGAGAAAAAACACAAACATTAAAAAGATATATTAGAATATTTGACACCATTTCTGATTTTTTTACACTTTTCTATTTACATTATGTGACAAAAATATTTGACATACAGCTGATTTCCCAAATAGATCTGACAAAAGGAATGCTGCTTCATTGTTAAAGAAGTTAACTTCTGCAATTCCAAGGTGCTTTCTTAGTTTGTTAATGAGGTCTTTTTGTAGTTTTTCTACAGTACAATATTTACTGGACCCATTTTTTGCATTATTGTTTGAAAGCACACATTTTAAAAATGTGCATTTCTTCCAAGTACAATTTTATTCTTGTTACTCACATCTTTTAGAATAAAGAAAGTTATCCTTGGACTTGTTTGCTCAATAAAACATTTAATCTGGTCTCCATTAAAGGGATAACAACTGTTCGTAAGATATCCATATTTCACTATAAATAAATTGCAAACAACTCATAGAAATATAATAAATTCAACTTTACCACCCAAATGGCGGTTGACATATTTATTCCAGAGTTAGTGCTTGTAATCACATGACCTCACATGACAGATGGCTACACACTAATCTCTAAAGAGAATGTAACAAAAAACCAAACTTTTTAGAAAAAAAACAGGGACTAACTTCGAATGTGGGAACGGATTCATTGGGAAGTATGGGAAAAGTGTCCTTTACCCCAGGAAAATTCATTTTTTGGCCAAAATTAACAGTTGTTATCCCTTTGAAAAGCAAACAATGGCTCTTAGCCAACTAATTTAAATTTCACAATCTTAAGGGCTTCTTAAGATGCTTTTTTCCCATTCACTATGCCCTTGGAGCAGAATATATTTCTCTTGATGATGATTGTTATTAAAGGATTATAAGAAGTGTATATGACTGACTCAAATCATTTTCAAATTAAGCTGAAGTGGATGATAACAGGGATGAGAAGAGTTTAGGCATCAGTCACAAGTGGCTTTTACAGTATACGGAATATCTTTCAGAGTGTACTATGAATCTCTGTGAAGAGAAATTGTGATCACACACGTACCTATCTAGCACAATGCAAACAAGTACAAACAACTCTTCTGTCCTTTCTTTTTTATTGTTTCTTTAAATGCTAGGCATAAAACCACAAAATGCAGTCATGTAACCTTCAACAAAAACTGGCCAAAACTGATTCTGATTTTCTTGATTTGCCACAAGCACAATGCTTTAAAACTGTTCATACAGTTAAGCATAGCCTATTCAGATCAGGCATACTAATCTAAATTTTCATCTGACCTCAATGTGTTTTTAAACTGGCAATTTATGTAAGAAAACATTATGGCCAAATCTGAAATAATGAAATCTGTGACAGAACATGTTTCATCATGAAGAGTTCATTAAGTTAATGCATTTTAACAGCATCAAGACTCCTCATTCCATCACTCAAAAAGTCTGTGTGTTGTTACAATTGTATATTGCCACAATTTTGTGTAACTATATTTGATTCTTCATCCTTGACATGGACTGAATAAAATAAAAAACCCACCAAAGGCAGTGTCAGCTAAAGAGTAATGGTAAGCATGAATTATTTAAAATACTGTCTTGGGGGCATATGACTTAACATGTTAGTAAAGTGCAATATTAAAACTGACAGGCAATCACTGTCATCCACTATCACTACAGTTTATGAACTGGTCCAATTTTCATGACAAGAAAATACTTTTGTAATGTTGTGAGCATGGTTTTGACAGATAAACCTTTGCCACTTTTCAACAAAAAGACTGGTTTAGTAATTTTTATGTTGCCAAATATATGATGTCAATCATCAAGAACTATAAGTATTGATTTTCATTAAACACCGTTGTAATTGAACAAAATTAACATCAAGCATTATAATAGTGCTACAGAAGGGCACACAAAATTTGACCAAACGATTATAGGGCGTTTCATAATTTGATCTCAAAAAAGAAGAAAAATAATAGTGCCATTTTAATTGTGCAGAGAGAATCCTCCCGTGCACAGCAATGCCTACAGTGGCCATGTCATCCAACTCCCTTGCAATGCTTGGCCATTATGAATGCACTGCACTGTTTAGCACCCTTATTTAATCCCTCCAGTTCATGTTGTTCCTTTCAAACTCATCAAATTCTTTTTGTGAAATTTCATCTACCTCATCCTCCACCTGCAACAATTAAAATAAAATAATGATAAATTCATTGACATCCATAAACCCTTTTCAACAAATTACAAGCACTGGGCTCCCTTCATTAACAATTTCTGAAGACTCTTCACTCTCCGACTATAAATGAATGCTCTTTTTGAATGTTTCTTACAAGCATGACTAAACAAAAATAGTTAAATTTACTCTATGTGCAAATTTATCCCTTTTTTTCATAAATACCTGAACAACTTCTTTAACTTCAGGAACATAAAACTGCAGCATATTCTGTACTCCATGTTTCAGAGTGACTACAGAGCTAGGGCAGCTTGTGCAGGAGCCTTGCATTTTGAGCTTCACAACCCCACTTTTTTCATCAAATTCCTGGAAGCAATTCAAAAAGCCCTATTTTAAGTTTTTTGAAAAAATTAAGAGCCCTTTTACCAGAAAAATCTCTTTAAAACATCACCATCTTGCACAGTCAAAATTAACAACAGTCCATTATCATGAATTACAATCAATAGTTAAAATTTGTTAAGAGTGAATGTTATATCATGTTTGAAACTGCATTTTTTCCATAAATGGCCTCTTAAAAAGAAGCACTTGTAGATGGGAACTTGTATCTTTAAAGAGGTAAAGACGCTACACACAAAACCTCCCCTATATGGTAATTCATTGAACTATTCAAACGGGATTGAATAATTAATTATATTAATTGAAACAACAATCTCTTGGAACTTCGCTGCAATCATCATTGTACCTATGGCAGATCTTTTATAGTAATCTTTCTTGTAGAGATTCAAACTAAATAATTTCAGGTTGGGGTTCCAAATGGAACTCTTTGCTGTGCAACAAAATTCAATCCAGGGCTTTGCCATCAAGTCCAAATGTGAGACTGGGAAAAAATGGTTGAAATGATCCAGTTTTTTTAACAGTTCAATTAGTTACTATTCTGACTGAAAACAAAAGAAATCTTTAGTCAAAAACAAATGGAATCCATGCAAATGCAAAGAGCTGACAAATCTTCCATACCACAAAAACAATGTCCCCTCCATCTTCTTGTACTGTGGGCCTGATTCTGGTATCCAGGAGTTCCTTGATCATGGCAACCGTTTCACTGTCTTCAGAATCCACAGCTAGAAAACATAAATGAATTTGTTATTTAATATTTTGCTATCAAACAGTTGTGGCGCATTAATAACATGTGTAGCACTTACAGCTATACAAAACAATTTCACATTTCACAATCAAGAACTATAATTGTCGTTTTAAGAAAAATTTCATATTTTCATACCATTTCCATAACTGATTTTTTCTTGTTAAAAGGCACTCAAGTTTTTATTCATATTATATTCAAACTGAACTATTTTTTTTGTTGTGGACCTAAACCTATGATTTATCTGAAGTCAAAGCAGTCTAAAATTTAAAAACTATTTTATTTTCAAAGGAATTCCATTCATATTACAATCATATCATCTTTTGTTTTATTTCCTTTTGGCTTTATTAAGTGTCTACTCTCATATTACTCATATGATACAGTCACATACAAGCATCAAGGTACTATTTTACTATAGCTTGGGAAATATAACAGTCTATATTGAGGCAAGCACAGGGTGTCAGAAAATGAGAACCATGTAAGCGAGGTGAGGTGAAACATGGATTCACAACCCTTGATTGAGCCTGTGTGCAAGTTTTACAGTGTTAATTAAGTGTTGTCTTAAGTTTAGGTATTAGTGCACAGCCTGTAAAACTACAAATGGTGCCCTATCTCCTGCTTAGGAGTATACTGAGAATATTTAATCTCTTTCCATAATAATTATTCATCCAATGGTTAGTTTATTTTGTATTATGATTTTCAAAAATGAGCATATAATGCTAGAATACTGAATTTCCACCTTTATATGTATGTATAAATAAATATGTCTCTGGAATAAATATGATTAAAATATAATTACTGTCATATCTTACCTTAACATATTTCTTTCTAACTTACAGTAGTGCTCAAGCTCTGATAGAAACAGCTTGAAATTAAGCATACTATTAATTAGTTTTCTACATTATGTCTTTTTGCTATATTTGGATGCAGAATTTTACTGTAACACTTCCCATATGAGATAAAAAATTATACAACTTCAACCCAGCTTTTCATCCATCCATTCTTCAGTCTATCCAAAACTGATCAACTACTATACAACTGAAAAAAGGGATTCCATTAACTATCTTCTTCAACTAGAGGATCAGAGAGGCGATGCCGCCTCCGAATATTGTACCACCAGCTGGAGCAAGCGCATTTGTATAGACCCCCACATACACAAAATAAGGGACACAGCCACCAGTCTTTTGCTTGACAAGCTGTAAAAATGCAATCAACAAGAATTTTCAAAATATGCAAAAAAAAAATATATAACTTAAAATGGTACAATCAAAGTTAAGTTCATCAAAAGGTAGGTCAAAGGTCAATTTCACAGTAAGATTGCCAGTATATGACTTCCTATTCAAGTTCAATAGTAACAATGGACCTATCTCTGCCAGGTTAGGAGTTAAAAGAGAAAGAAATTAGCAGAGTTCAGTTCATGGTGAAAAGTAGGTCAAAGGTCAATTTTAAGGTCACATTTAGATTGCNCTTTAGTAATAGTAAGGTGACAACTGTGAAATTTTGTAATTGGGTACAGAAGGTGCATGTGTAAAAAAGAAAGCCAATAAGTGGCCAATCATTGTTTGTGATTAATATTTTGATTGCTTTATTCTTACATGTAGTGCTGATTGAAAGAATAATCTCACAATGACTTGAGGATAAAATATGTTCATTTTTTATATGAGCCCCTTCCTCAGACAAGCTTATTATTCAAGGTTGAAAAGATATATGTTTTTTTTTTCCAAAATGCTATGAATGGCTTTTGTTGTCAAGGAGATCAGTGAAAACCTATTGACATGGTAAATAGTCCAAACAAGAGACCACCAGCCTATAATTAATTACCAGACATTTACCAGATAAAGCAAGCTAGCCAGTATACTGATGAGCATCTGCTAGATGGGCAGTTTGAAATCAGTGTATGCAAGGATGCACCTGATTTAACCAGAGCCAAAATAGTTAATTAAGGCACACATCTAGCCACCAGTACACGTTATGGATTCAGACCTCCCATAGCAAAACTAGACCCATCAGCGGCTGGTACTGTCAATGTAAAGCAGGTTCCAAGACAGTTGGAAGTTGTGCACATATTACTTGTTCTGTAGTATATAGGGTTTGCCATGAGGCAGGGATGCAATTGAAAATTATGTTGTGGAAAAGGTTGTTTGGATGCCTCACATTTACCAACATCAAGTGGTGACAGTATTATAGCGAGACAGAAAGTGTTTTGGACAGCACATCTGATTAATTATCTATTGTTTCTTATACATTTTTTATTCTCATCTTTGTATATTTTGTATAAAATAACTCTTGCATTACATTCTATGCAAGGTCTTTATCACATACATAATCATATATTAAGTATTTTTTAGGAGATTTAATTTCATTGTCATACAGATTATTGGCCATAACTGTTATTATGTTTACTATATTTTCATTCAGTTTTTACTTTTACCTTATCATTATTTTGGTACAATTTATACCTTGTTCATTTTATGGTTAATGGAAACATTCCAAATAACTGTTTAGAGTGCTTTAATTTACACATGATTTCTTGTTGTTACTGTAACAGCCTTTTGGTTTTAGCATTTTTTACTATTTCTTAGAGCCTTGTACAAAATGTGCATTGGTTATCAATACAATTATTTAGACCAACAAATGCTAGTCTGTGATAAAAGTTATATAAAATTAATATACGCTGAAACAAGTTTTCTTAGTTACAAAACTTTTATACAGTAAAGTGAAATCAGTGATAGCTTCTGTGAGAAAATATCATAATACAACACCCCTCCCTCTTTTCTCTAGGATTAAAAAAAAAATTCCTTTCCCATTTACTTGTGCCACACCACATATAACTCTTTTTTTACACCACAAGACAAGTTTCATTAGAAAAAAATCATTAATGTAATATTTATGCTGAAACAAGTTGCTCTGATTGATTAGACTGCATACAACAGGTAAATCTGGATACCCCTCCCCCCACATATAACTCATTAAAAATACTAAGTTACAATGCCTCAAACCAAATAATATTTTTTCACACAACAAATATGTGCATAAACTTTATAATAGCAAATTATTAAAAAATTTTGATGATGGGCACTTTGCCAATGGTTATCTGCACTCATCCTTGCTCATATTGGCATTTTCAATGATGAAATTTGAATACTCATCGCCATGAAGCTGTATGGAAGTTACATATTTTATGTATAGTTCATATATTAATTAAAAATTGGTGGTGATTATACACCCATAATCAGTATCTAGGCCTACATGTAAAATTTGCATCAAATTGACACGCACAAAAAAAAACTTTTTGTGCACTGCTACGTACCACAATTGCCATGAAAGAAAAACTTTACTTAATTATTTTAATTGTAACTTCAATATGGTTAGTTGAATTGGCCTAACAGAATTTATGCATATTTTGTTTTATCATTTCCCATGTGTGACTACAAACTCTTGTGGGCCTGAAGCCCCATGCTAGTAACACATTGCTTATATCCATGTTACATGTTGTGCATTATTAAAATTTGGTATTAATTTTGCTGTTTAGCATAATTATGTAATATGGCATCAACATTAAAAAAACTATATTGTGCATCATTTATTTTCTGTTTTTTGTCTGTTCATTTGATAGCTTTGCTGACTTGTTTAGAGAAATTGATTGCCAGATATTTCTCACGTTAGTTTAGGTGGTTTTACTATTAGCATGCTAACTGGTTCATTTTTGGTATACGCTAGCAGGTCTATTGAATTCCTTAGTGCACTAGGTGCGACATATTATTTACACAGCTAACACATTTGAAAATTTCCTGTGATGCAACTCTGGCCAACAAACGAGCCCACCCAACGGCCGTACCACAGCACACTTCTAGTATTTATAGATCAGGGTGGAGTCAATTTAAAGATTGGGAACTGCACCAATCATCAACACAATATATACATTGTGTTTAACCTTTATTGATCTCAACTTGCTAATTTCCAGTTATAATTTCTCAAAATTTACTGAATTACATTGTAAGTACTAATTAAAATATGTTGCCTTTTGAACACACTCACACAGCTGTCACGGACCTGTTTTATTGTTATTTTATACTCTTTTTTTTTTAATAAGGTTCTGTACGTGTTAGATGGATATATCTTATATACAAATAAATATTTAAAAAAGGTATAGCACCATATATAGTGCATGTACTGTATATATGTCACGATCTTTAACAAATAAAAATAATATATATGCATTGTTCAGTGAATTCAGTTTCACCAAAAAGTTCTTTGTCCTTTAAATAGACTAAAAATACCTATTTAACTTTGAAAAGTAACTCAAATAGACGAAACAAAAACACTTTGTGTCCATAGCAATCGCAGTTGCTTGTTTCAAAATTATACGCAGTGAGTTAAATATAAAAGCAGTGAGCCCAGACCTAGATTATAAACACAATTCAATTCAAATCAATAAACCTATTCAATCATTTGATAACATATAAACACTCCGTCCGGTGCCCTTTCTTTCATTCAGTTTAAAATGGACAAAGCGGTTCATTGTGCAGGTTACCCTGGGCGACTGGTTACCTTCCCAGCATCCTTTGCGTTTTGTTGGATGAAAGACGTCACCAAGAGAGAGAAAATGTCTCCCAACAAAAGTGGATTGGACTAATTCGGGGGCATTTTACAGGTTAACAGATACTTCGAGGTTGTATATTTTGATCTGAAATTCGGAAGAAACAATGGCTGGTTCGTGTGAAGGTCCAAAAAAGGCTGAATTCATAGTTGGCGGAAAGTACAAATTAGTACGAAAAATAGGCAGTGGTTCATTTGGGGATATCTACTTGGGGATTAATACTCTAAATGGAGAGGTATGCTCTTTGTTTTCTACATTTTCTGTACATTTCTTTATTTAATCCCTGTAAAGTGTGTACAGTGTAATATCGATGTGAATCTTATATTTCAGGAAGTGGCAGTTAAATTAGAGTCCACGAAAGCCAGGCATCCCCAGCTTTTGTATGAAAGCAAACTGTACAAAATACTTCAAGGTGGAGTTGGAATCCCACACATAAGGTAAGTCAAATAACAAATACAGGTCCATCTGTGTAGACTTGCTTGATATATAATTATTCCCTATTACATTATGCTTCTGGTAAAACAATAATTATCAGTATTTTACAGTATACATATAACATTTTACTAGTGCATCCTGCTGGTTGTCTGTTAGTGTTATTATTCATATTGTGATCTCGGTAAGTTTTAGTCTACAGATACTGCAAAGCGAGTCAGGTTTGGTCTGTATACTATTTCATTTCTTGATCTCACTCTTGATATCATTTTAAATAACATAATAATGTACAGTGGTGTTGATTGGGGTTGGATTGTGAAACAATGCAGTAAGTTGTCTCATCCATACAGGAAGTAAAACAATATGGGCATAACTGTTACTCAGGTAAAAGCTGATATGAGTCATTGCACTACAGAAAAACCACTAAGTAGTTGTCTTTGTACTTTAGAGCCATAACTGTTAAGAAAAAATAAATACTAGTAGGTGCATATGGTGGGATTGGCCTACTAGTAAGAGCTTTTTTGTTATGTTACTGGTACAAGTACTGGCTTCTTTTTAAGTCAAATGCTGTTTCTAGGGGGTATTAAATAGGGTTGCAATGATTGAATGGAATATACTTTTGCGACCACTTATAATTGGTGGATGCTGAACTGAATAATTTTGATTTCTTTATCTTGACTTGTCATATAGTTATCATAATCAGGAAAAAATATGACATTAAAAGCATTGAGTGTGTGTTTTGAATATTAGAAAAATGTTTACAGACCTATGTGAAATGTGTGAAGTTATCTGTTTGGTGAAAAGTAATTCAGAACATATGAACATTTACTTTGGATAGCTATATAATGCAGCCCTATTAAACTTGGCTTCTCTATACATCTAATGTGCAGTACCAAGACTCATGGGAATTTTCCAAGTCAGCAGCAGGCAGTTTGGATATGTATCAGATGGTGGTGGGATGACATGATAATGATAATGATGATACATTCTTAATTTTTAAATTCTATAAATTGATAAACACTTTTCTATGAAAGTTTGCCTATAAATGAAGAATAAGATAGGGAATAGATGAAATGCTTAACTTATATGCCTGAAGTTGGAAATTCCAATGCAGGGTGAATATATCATTTTCTTTTGTTTATTATCATTACAATCATTCATAGATGGTTTTCTGTAGCAATATAATGTCAATGCCTCTTTCTGGAAAGAAACATAGTTTTGAAAATATGCATCACTTTTCTGATAATAGATTGTGCTAGATTAAATAATCAGCAGGTAAACTTACATTTGCTTATCTGCACAAAAATGACATGGTAGTCTAATATATTGCATGCAGAAGAAAAAAAGGGTGGGAACATTATCTCACTGGTAATTACTACAGTAAAGTGGAAGTTCAAGTTAAAGTCAGTTGGTATCTACCAGCCTGTAAATTTTAAGTGCTACTGATGTGTTGGTTTTAGCGTTAAACCAGTAATTAAAAATTCATCTCTGATCCTTTAGGGATGGCAGTTATCACAAGAGTGTTAAAGAGCATGCTTGAAAAGAATTTAACAAAGTATAAGTTTATCAAAATGATGAAGCACATACTAAGAGAGTTATAATGTTTTGTAAGTATGTGTTAAGGCATGTTTAGTGAGAGTTTCAGTGCTTCAATACTAGTAGATGTTTTTTATTGTTCAGCAGAGCAAATCAGCATAAAAATCTGGGTTACACTTGAGCTATCTTTTCAATCTGCAGTATTATTTGCCAAAGGTTTGACATGTTTGACCAAGAGGTAATATTAAGGATGAATTCATATAAACTGAAGCCCATGTTGACTAAGTTGCTTAATGTAAATCTTTATTTTGATTCTTTATACGACAGCCCACTTACCACTTCACACTTGTTTGTTATAAACATGGAGTAGTGGATTGGATTGTTGGCAAATTAATTGCATACATGCATTACTTGTGTGCAATATTTTTTTTTTAATACAGATTTAAAATTAGCACATTATTGTAAAAATTTGCCCTCTCTTTTTCCATTTTGGGCAGTTGTACACATATTTTAGTAAATGTATTTTATCAATACCTTAATGGTAATCAGGACACTGTTCAAACAATATACAGCTCTGTATTGATTTCCCTGTTTTTATGGCAAAATGGAAGCAATACAATATTAGAAAGTGTACGCAGCTGATTGATTGGTGGATTATTACTTGAGGTTAGTGTTCTGAAAAGCTCAATTGATATATATATTATCTTGTATGTTCGTCCAGCTACTGCTGTTGTGGGTTGATTTAGAACTAAGTTAAATTATCATATAACACTGGGTTCCCATACCAAAATTGATCTAACAGGATTGATCCATCTTCAAGGAGTTCCTCACTAAATTTCTTTTAGCTTAAGCGGCTAAGATACTGCACGCATACTGAAGCTGCTAAACGATAATTAATTAGAAGCTTAAGTAGGCTTGACAGACATCTAAGCCGTTTAAGTTGATTGCAATTTAGCGAGAATCCCCTCAGAGATAGATCGATCCATAGTTGGTACAATAGGGACAGGGAATGGTCCCTAAGTTTACTTATGCCTCTCTTGGAATTGATGCTCTTGCCCTGCCTATAAGAGAGAATATTGTTTTGCCCATTTGCAGGTTACTACCCCTGCCACCTGCATCTGTAAATGAATGAAATAGTAAAGGTTCATGATTAGAAAAAAATAAATAATTATAAATAAAATGAAATGTATACAGTATATATGCATATAAAATTCACGGATTGTTTATGGAAAGGGGATGATTATCTGTCCATCTGTGTGTGTGTATATATATATATATATATATATATATATATATATATATATATATATATATCTGTATAGTCGTTATATAAATATGACATTAAAAAAGTCATGTGAAACTTTTTTTAGCTACAATATAGATTCAGATTTCTTTATATAGCAGACATGCTGAAAACTTTTCAGAATGGCCGGACATTTGGACTGCAGTAATGAAAAATTTGACGAACCGAATAGATTTTTGCCAGACCGAAAATCACCTTTTTTTTTTTTTTGAGACGGATACTAAGATTAGGTAGCTTTGTTTATGAATGTGGTCGGTTTGAAATGGAAGGGAAAAACGCTTTGGGCTTTATATAATTTTTTTTAGTGAAGTATGTCGAATGATGACTGTAAATTCAAAATGGTGTCTCTTAAAACTCTTGTCGGTCCTGTGGACCGACTAAGTCCAATTTTTTACCGGTCCAGACAAATTTTGCCAGTCATGACCAATCAGACCGACAGTTTCAGCATGTCTGATATAGATAACCACTCAGTGTTACACCCAAGGTACAATCATGGACATAAACATGTAACTACTCTTTTACACAAAAAATAACTTAACAGTACATTTATTTAAATAGTTAAGTACATACATATAAAACAAATTCTTTGCAACTAAATGCTAGGTTTAATCTACACAGCCAGTTACTCCTCACGGCAATGGGGATCAAAAACCAGCATAGGGGTTATTTTTAAGCATGCATGAAAAAGTTTACTCTTTTCTCCATGCATTTCTGCACAAACACAAGTAGGGGAATAATTATATTTATTTATGCTTCATTTCCCTGTCCACTCTGTAAAATGGTGTTGAGAAGTACATTTTTGAGTAGTGTACCTTCCTTACTGGCACGTGTGTTACTTATAAAAGCAAATATTTTTTGTTTCAGATTTTATGGACAAGAGAAAGACTACAACTGTCTAGTGATGGACTTGTTAGGTCCAAGCTTGGAAGACTTATTCAATTTCTGCTCCAGGCGCTTCACTATGAAAACAGTGCTGATGCTTGCTGATCAGGTAGGTGTAAAGGAGCTGAATGAGCTTGGGCAATTTTAGAAAGGAAGTCATATCAGGTTTATTACCTGCTTTAAGCACATATGCCTTAAATCCCAATAGACAAACACTATATCTTATAGATAGAGGAAGCCATTGGATAAATTATGTCTGTGTGGCTTCATTGTGAAGACAAAATCTGACAATGTTGCTATTATTTCAACATATGCTAATTACCCGGTTTTCTGCATTTTGTAATCTTGACTTGACCCATTTACATTGGGGTGATAAAAAAATCCTAAAAGCAGTTTTACTTATTAATTCCACCCAACACCTGCCTGCTTGCCAGGCAATTACAGTAACCACTTCAACTGATCATTTAAAACTTGAAACCAGTTTTTACCCTCACATAAATGAAGGGTAGGGGGGATACATTCACCCTTGAAATATTGTCATTTTATTTTTAAGATAGATGCACAGCAGCTGTCTAGTCTGGACTGGGTTGTTTTGATAGAAGCCTAAATGTGTTTAAAATCATTTAAAATGAGAGAAAAACATTTGAAATAAGAGAAAAAAAGGGTTGAGCCCCTATTGATTTGATTTAGTTAGTATGATTTTGTGAGAAAATAACTGATGTTATATTGCAGACATTTTTTTTTCATAAAAAATTAGATACAAGTAATCCATAGATCAAAATAATCAATTGTGATTTTTATGCGTCAAAATCTTGGGAGAAGTGAATTCAAAAGAACAAAACGGAGAATGTAATATATATATTACATATACTAGGTATATATATATATACGTAGTATATGTTCATTATGAATAGAATGTATGTCGAACATGCATATCATGCATTATATGCATATCCTGGAGCCAAAAAAGACACATAAAGGGTTTGATACTTGGCTTGGAGATTTTATACTCTCCTGCATTGTGGTGATATGAAAACGTGTATTTCAAATAAGTGAGCATTACCTTAACTTAAAATCAGTTTGGGTAAATTGTAACTCTAGGTTTTAAAATGGGGAATGTGATTATTAGGGATAAAGGGATTTTTTTACATGATTTGTTATTGAGAAGATTTTTCTTTTTTGTGTTATATGTCTATAATGTTTATCTTTTTTTATATCTTTTCAGATGATAGGCCGGATAGAGTATGTACATAATAAAAACTTTTATTCACAGAGACATCAAGCCAGATAACTTTCTTATGGGTATTGGACGGCATTGTAACAAGGTATTCACACAACTAAACCAATCATTACAGTCAGTAGTAAAGTGCGATGCTTTTTTTTAAGAAGTGAAGATGTAAGGAAGCAATCAATTGGTTATTTATTGACTCAAAATGAAAGTAAAAGTGATGTAAAGAACTGCAGCATTAAGATCAATTTGAAACAGAGATGAAAAAAATATCTGATGTGCTCTGGTTTTGTAGGTGTTTATAATTGATTTTGGACTGGCCAAGAAATACAGGGATAACCGTACACGCAATCATATTGCATACAGGGAAGACAAAAATCTAACAGGAACGGCACGATATGCGAGTATCAATGCTCACTTAGGTATTGAGCAGAGTCGAAGAGATGATATGGAGTCACTTGGCTATGTTCTCATGTATTTTAACAGGACTAATTTGCCTTGGCAGGGATTAAAGGTAAGGCTTGTGGTTCAACATAAAGTTGTTAAGTTGTAACTGAAAATTGTCATCTAACTTTGCATGACATGAAACTCTTTGAAATACATTCAGAATTGACCCAGATTTTGTTTGTAAATTTTATCTTACTTCCAATGGAATAATACAAAGTGAAATTATTTTTTGAAAAAAAAAAAAAAAAACTTTTGTGTGTTTATTATATGAGAAAGCCTTGTAAATTAAGCATGCTCACACACACACACACAGAACTAGCAACAGAAGGAATTTTAATTGTCAGAATTATCCTCAGATTCCATCCAAGTACTTGTGATTTTGCCTCATTTTTTTTCTGCAAATACAGAAAAGTAATGTGGTGAAAGGACGTTAATTCTTTAAACCATTTGAAATATTACATTATTCAGTATTTTTGAATAAAAATTTTTATTATAACTATTTCTTATTTCGGTCCAGTTCTTTATGGTTTCATTATGGAGGCTTTTTCTTGTGTATGTGGACGCAGGAACGGGTGCAATGATTGCCTTCTAAATAAGCTATGAAAAGAGTAATTTCTGAAAACTTTAAAAACTAGTCATCCATTTGATGTTGTCATCCATTTGGTACATTTCAATAAGACCTCTTCCACTTTTACTAAAAAGCTTTTTCAGACAATTAATTAGCAATTTAGATGCCATTTATTGGCCACTTTGCAAAAATAATGTTATTTAAGTGGCATTTCAGGCTATGAAATGTGACTTAAAGGTTATTGGCATGGTTGACCCAGGCCTAAAACATTAAGTTATTTTTATCTGCAGTTTTAAAGCATCCTGTAATAGGGTAACCTTTCCTACTGTCTTGAAAAATTTTCATCATTGATATGAAGCTTTGTTTTCATTTGAATTGGTTGCAAGAATATAAATGATTTATAATAAAATTTGTGTATTGATAATATGTATTGCTATTGCCTGAATGCTAATTTACAGTTATCAACACCCTTCACATGAATTTATAACACAGAAATGCTCAATAATTTTAATAAAACAGTTGGCAAGCATATGCACACTTTTTTCCTTCATTAATATCAAAAGTCAAATCGGTTAAGCAACATTTTTGTTTTAAAAATATTTCAGTTGTTGCTAAAGATGCATTTTTTTATTTCTCTGTCAAATGGAAGTTTTTGTCAAATGGAATATTGTTACTCAAACAAGCTATAGGTAATCAATTAATTTTTTTCTTTTCAGGCTGCAACTAAAAAACAGAAGTATGAAAAAATCAGCGAAAAGAAAATGTCCACACCAGTTGAAAATCTCTGCAAGGTAAAATTAATCCAACTGCTTGTTATATAAATATACAAATTTATTTGTATCAACAGATATTGAGTAATTCTATATCGAACAATTATATCTTCATGAAATGTAATTTTGTCTTACGTCAGTGAATGATATTGTATGGTTCTTTTTCTTTTGAAACTAAGTTTGTTGCTACCAACAAATGGGGTTCTTTTTATAATCTTTATTTCTGCTTAACACATTTAACTATGTACAAGAGCTCTGCCCTCTGACTGACAGCCCAAACAGTAACAGCTAACTGCTTGCTCCCTTGAACAACTGCTCTGACTTCCACCTTCTAACTCTTAACTGGCCAAATTGGCTCAGAGCCCCTGTATTTATAGAGGCTTACCCCCAGGCACATTCTGGCTGCAAGAAGAAGAAACTCCTGGACAGAGCTATTACAGTTGCAGTACAAGCTAAGCATGTGGTTTGATCAAAACAGAAAGGACTGCTGTTGCTAAAATTAAACAGGGATGACAGTCAGGGGTCAATTGAGCTGTCAGCAAAGTAAAAAATGTACATGTAGAAATGCTTCAATGTTACTTTCACGAATGTTTCCTTAAAAATGTTTTGTATTTTCAGGGATATCCTGCAGAATTTGCTATGTACTTGAACTACTGCAGAGGCCTTCGGTTTGAGGAAGCTCCAGACTACATGTACCTGCGTCAGTTGTTCCGCATTCTCTTCAGAACACTGAACCATCAGTATGATTACACTTTTGACTGGACCATGCTAAAACAGAAGGCATCATCCCAAAATGCAAGTTCTGGTGCTATGGCAACACCAGGAAAGAAGATATGATTTTTTGAGTGGGTGTAAGGTGGGTAGTTTGACATTGAGAACTTTCTTCCAAGGCTTGTCCTTTAGAAGTAAGTTTCAAAAATATGAATGTAATATCTTTTTATGAAGAAATATTATACAGTGTATAGTCAGGAATTGTATAGAAATGTATATTTATATCTTTATGAATCTTCCAAATAATATGATCAAAAGGGCATCTTTTTGGGACCTCGTTAAGAATGAGATTAATTAGTGATTTGATACAGTTCTGTAATGTTTGATAACCAAAGGCTTTCTAACAGCCATTGTGGCATATTATTTGTATTTTTGATGTAAACCTACAAAAGTTTTAACTTGAGGTTTTTTTTTTTTTTCAGGAGAGTCATTGAAAGAAGAATAGCAAGATATCTTACTGGGAAGTCCAGAGATCTGGAATGCAGTACAAATACTTAACTTTTGTCATTTGTTTCAAGCACTGCACTGTAAATTATGCCTGTCAAATAGGGCTTGCAGTATCTCAGTACCAGCTTCAAGAACACTTATGTAGATGAGTCAGGGTGTCATTGTGCTCTGCAGATCTACTAGTACTCGTTGAACAATGTAACATGTACTTGAAGGACATTTTTTTTTCTTTTGTGGAAAATGAGACCTTGTAACATTTGTTGCATATATTACATTGAAGACCAAGGTTTTTCTATTTATCATTTCATATTTTCACAAAAGTATACATTCATTGTACTCTGTATATTTCATAATGCATGGGATGGGGTTCTTTTTTAAAAAATAATTGTAGTATCAGATGTGGGAAGTATTCTGTGGTAAACAAGATGTATTAGAGAGAAAAACTACAGGAGACACTTGGCTTGGCTACTTGGCATGGATGGGGAATGGATTAGATGATGCAGGTAGTTTTCAGAAATATCTATTGGTCCCTTTTACATCAACAAATAAGTTTTATTACAATGGACAAGAATGCCTTGGAAAAACACATAAGAAAGACCTGGGTGCAAAAGATACTGTAAAAAATCGACACTTCAGACACAGACATGAGTAACAGTAGTAACATTAATCATTTAAGCTTTCAAAAAGGGTTACGTAGTCCATTGCAAACCTGTTATTTAAATATGTATGTTGTATGATATTTTAATAGTGTGTGATATCATTCTTGTTGATTTTATTCATGTACAAGAGGCACTTTCGTGTCAATAAATGTTTAGAAAAGACACATTTTAAAGTAAGTTGCAGGTGTCTTGCAGATGTGGCATTAAAGAAAGCAAGAAAAGGGCCTGTAAAAAGTTTTTGCTTTGTGTTCACTTCATTCTGTATCCAGAAACTGGAGTATTCCCTCAATTTGCTGTACTGACTGTAGATAAATGAAATAACATATGCTGAATTATTCAAGTATCTCAAATGACTTCCTTTCGGTTTTTTTGTAGCTTCATACACAAAGGGGAATTAGAGTCCTTTCAAATCCCAAAATGTGGGGCATTTTTTTCATCAATCAAAACTTAACACGTTTATATATGGCCAGTTTATTTTTAAGTGTATTAATTATAAAAATATCTGCAGTGAAATTTTCATGCAAAATTTTCAAGATGTTTATCACATCATCTTGATTTGTATTTGGAAATTTACTTTTTTACTTTTCTTTTACTTGTAAGGCAGATTTCCATTTTTTGTACATAGGTGATTTCTCAACCTTAGTCTCTTCTGTGTCACTTGCATCTTGTAAAACTGTTATATTTTTCACTCCTGCCAATATTAGGCGGTCTATTTCATCCTGCATCTCTTTGATTTGTTCACTATCTGGAAACATGTCTGGAAATCGTGTGCTGGAAAGTAAATATTAAAATAATATTCATCACAGAGCCTACCTTAGAAGACAACATGACAATTCAATAGATTAAATATCAGTGCTTTTATATTAAAAATAATACTTTGACCAATCAATTATGCTGATGTTTAATTTTCCAAATGTCAAAAAATTAATACCAAATCATACACATACCCAAACCAACGGTATAAATCAAGACCTTGATACACGGACTCTAAATTATTTATCATAGCTGTTGTTCTTGCAGGAGAAAGAGGCCAGTTAAGTGTTTTCTTTATGAATTTCACAGTCACTGGTTCTGCATGGCTGTATTGTCGAGCATACTGAAAAATTCAAGTTTGTACAATTGAATTAAGTTTTGCTACAAGTTTTAAATTGTAAAGAAAAGACTTTGTAGCTAGGTAAACTTTTGTTCAACATACTAGGACTTAGCGATAAGCTTCATTTAAGAACTTTCTTTTGTCAAGTAAAAAAAAAATTCTTTTCATAAATTTCACTCATATCTCAAGAGGCAAATCGAGTAAGTAATAAGTGCAAATCATATGTACTCAAAACATTGCTTATACAAAAAACAAAACAATTCTTACCCTCAAGAAAAAAGAAAGCAGAATCTTGTCCTCTGTTTTGATAGGTGCCACACAAAACACATACTTCACACGTAAATCTAAGGGAATATGGGCTGAGAGCTCAGCTAGCTCTTTGAAAGTTTCCATATCAGACAAGAAAAAACGATCTCCATCCAAACTGCACTGGTGAATAAAAACGTCCTGAAAGTGGAGGAAATAAATATTTAACACAAATTTGGTTGATGTAAAAAATATATCTGTCAGCAGATTAAAATATTAAAGATTAATCATGCTCAGACATTAATCCTTAACAGAAAACAAGAAAAGGAATAATTGGTAAAACATACCAATAGTAAGTTCAACATTCAATGCTTAAAACACAGACATTATGAAAGCATGTGAAAGGTATTTTAAATCTGAAAAAAGGAAACAATTCTGACCACTAAATCTGCAAGTCGAAGCTTGGGTAGATAGAAAGAAAACATTTCAATCTGGTCACTTGTAGGATGCAATCCAGCTTTCTGTAAAATAACATATAACCCATTTTACCTTCAGTTTGTATTAAGTGTAACACAGGATAAATAATTTCTCAATTGTTTATTCCAAAGCTTAGGAGGGGAAATTGGCGGAGGATAATTTTTCAAATGATGCGAGTTATTTTCATGAGGGCACTAATGAAATAAAATGCAAAATGTTAAAAATCTTTAAAAAATCCTATCTCCACTTAAATGTATGCTTTAACTGCTTGTGGCAGTGAACTTCTTATAGTCATCCTTTTTCATGTAAAATGGCATTTTTAATTTCATTGAAGTCTTCTGAAAAAATATTTTTGGGTGATACCTCAATTTCCGGGATGTCACTATTCAATAACCTCCTCAGTTTGTGGAGGTCTCTTTCCATCAATGTTGTTACAAAGCCATTTTCAAAATCTGTGCCAAATCTTCCTGCTCTGCCAGCAATTTGCAATGCTTGTGATGGAGCAATCATCCTGAAAACTTTTTGACCATCCTCACCAATATCCATCTTTGTTAAAGAATGGAATACAATTCTTCTTATGCTCCTGAAATAAAAAATAATTCAATCTTGTGGGGGTGGTATCAATGGTTTAGGGAGAACTAAGAAAGAACAACCTTAAAAATGCTATATAATCACAATATAAGAATGATTTATTATTTCATTAGACACTTAGTTTAATTAATAACTTGTGAATGATTAGTAGTTTTGCAAACTGGCTGATAAACTCACATGGAAAATAATGGCATTCAAATATCTAATTACTTGGATTGGGCAATCTGTCTTTGAAACATATATCACACTATTCTATGAGTAATATCATTGAATCACATTTTTGTTATTAAATTTCTGTAGAAAATTATTATAAATTCATATATTTTTCTTACAAATTGAGACCCATTCCTATTGCATCTGTAGCCACTAATATTTTACAAGGATCATCTGGATCATTAAACCTCTTTGCCTGAGCAAGTTTAGTTCCTAAAGTAAAAAAAATTGTTCAATAAGATATATATATTGTTCAATAAGATTAAATATTATTTAAAATTATGACAAAAGAATTGTACAATGTTCTCCTACATTTGTGATGAGGGCAGACTAGTGATAGCTAAATGAAACAAAAACAACAGTGTTTGTCAGCAAAAATGATGAAGAAAATAAAGAAAAACTAGATGGTGTCAATGGGTAGCCATTGCATATCCCGGCACTTCCCCATATTATCAAGAGCAGCTCACCCCTAGGGACCACTTACCACACACGCACATACACACGTACAACCCCCTGTTGTAAAATTCAGAAGTGCCCATGCACATCTAGCTCTGATGATGGGTATACTAATCACCAAAGTTTCAACTTCCTACCTGCAATGGTATAGGAGAAAATAGCAGAAACTACAATTTGAAAAGAATTCAGAATCAACCTACCCCTGGGGACAGCTCAACCCCCGGTTGCACTAATATTCCAAAGCGTATATGTACATCCTTGATGATGGATCTTCCAATTCCCATAGTTTCAATTTCCTATCTCTAACGGTCTAGGAGGAGATAGCAGAAATTACAATGGCATAAGAATTTAAAATCAACCCCCCCCCCCCCCGGGACAGCCCAATACCCTGTGGCACTAAAATTCCAAAGTGTCCATGCACATCCCTGAAGATGTGTCTACCAATTCCTTAAGTTTCAACTTCCTACCTGCAATGGTCTAGGAGCAGATGGCAGAAATTACAATGCCATAAGAATTTAGAATCAACCACCTCCCAGGGTACAGCCCAACCCTCTGTTGCACTAAAATTCTTAAGTGCCCATGCACCTCCCTGATGATAGGTATACAAATCACTAAAGTTTCAACTTCCTAACTCTAATGATCTAGGGCAGATGGCAGAAATTACAATGTCTTAAGAATTTAGAATCAACCACGCCCAGGGTACAGCCCAACCCCCTGTAGCACTAAAATTCAAAAGTGCCCATGCACATCCCTGATGATGGGTAAACTATTCACCAAAGTTTCAGCTTCCTAACTTTGATGGTCTAGGAGGAGATAGCAGAAATTTCAATGTGATAAAAATTTGGAATTAACCACCCCCCGGGGTAAGCCCAAACCCCTGTGGCACTAAAATTCCAAAGTGCCCATGCACATCCCTGATGACGGGTATACTAATAACCAGAAGTTTCAACTTCCTAACTCTAATGGTCCAGGAGGAGATAGCAGAAATTACAATGTGAAAGGAATTTAGAATCAACCACCCCCTGGGGACAGCCCAACCCCCTGTGGCACTAAAATTCAAAAGTGCCCATGCAGATCCCTGATTATGGGTCTACCAATTCCCAAAGTTTCAACTTCCTATATGCAATGGTCTAGGAGGAGATAGCAGAAATTACATTGTGAAAAGAATTTAGAATCAACCCCCACCCCCCTGGGGACAGCCCAATCCCATGTGGCACTAAAATTCCAAAATGCCCATGCACATCCCTGATGATGGGTCTACCAATTCCCAAAGTTTCAGTTTCCTATCTGTAATGGTCTAAGAGAAGATAGTGGAAATTACAATGTTATAAGAATTTAGAATTAACCACCCCCCGGGGACAGCCCAACCCCCTGTGGCACTAAAATTCCAAAATGCCAATGCACATCCCTGATGATGGATCTTCCAATTCCCATAGATACAATTTCCTATCTCTAACGGTCTAGGAGGAGATAGCAGAAATTACAATGTCATAAGAATTTTGAATCACATACCCCCCCAGGCACAGCCCAACCCCCTGTTGCACTAAAATTCCAATGTGCCCATGCACATCCCTGAAGATGGGTCTACTGATTCCCAAAGTTTCAACTTCCTACCTGCAATAGTCCAGGAGGAGATAGCGGAAATTACTAACACACAGACGCACGGACAGGCGGGATAACATGATCCCAGACTTTTGTCCCAAAAGTGCGTGGATAAAAAAAAAAAAAAAAAACACACACACACACATTTGTAATTCTTTATTGACATCTGATGAATTTACAACTGAACACATTTGCTGACCTGGGGGTAGGTTCCCATAAATAACAGCTACTTCATGGCCAAGCTTTTCCAAGTGTTGAGTAGTGGCATATATTGCCTTTTTACTGAAGCAAACAATGCAATCACCAGGTTGTACATTTTCTAGTGAGCCTGGAATGAAAATAATACAGAAATGGATTTATTATCTAGAACAAGACAGCAAAGCTGTCAGATGTACAAAGAAAAAGCAGAAATAACTAGAGGATCAGAGAGGCGATACCGCCTCTGGGTATTCAGACATGGAGAAACTGTCGGACCGACCGGTCTTGACTGCCAGAAAAGCCTGAGGTCCGGCAACATCTTTGGAGTTACACATCTGTGTCTGTACATAAAAATGTGACTAGGAAAGGAAAGGCCCATGAAATTTTTAAGTTACATCTTGAAAATGCCAATATGTACACAGGAGATAACTGTACTGAAATAAGTTTCTTTCCATTTTCAGCACTTTTTTATATAAAACAAAATAATCAATTGAGATGGGAAAGATATAAATAAAGCAATTTTAAATGTCCATTTTGATCCATTCTGAGATTCTGAACATTGTGAATGATTGAATCTGACAAACTGCAATGGAGTGTGTTTCCATTTTTGACACTTAATTACACAATACACAATAACAGGTTTACCATCATTTTTATATAACCAACTAACAATATTGTTAAGATGCAGAAAAACACTTTTACCTATCTAATTAGTTCACTAATTAGACTGTTCACATGTATAAGAATCAAATCTGAGGAAAAACCACTTACATACAAAAAGAAATAGCTTGATCAAAACAGATTTTCAAACTCAAACTATATTTGTAACATTGATCACTCCAGTGATTTTCAAGACAAGAGGCCTATTGGTTTTCCTTGAAATGTGTTATCAGTGTTGCATATATGTAAGTTCTGTAAGTTTCAAGCCAAATGGTTAAATGGTTTTCCACTTATCGTGTTATTGGTGAAAGTGCATGGCAATGACAGCAATGCCAATGGTAGCGACTGCGAGCACAGACGCAGGTGAATACTACATTTTTATTTGTACATAAAAATGGTCTAATCATCTTGCTTTTCGAACTGGACCTGTATTTTATGAATATTCATCAGCTCTGTAAGTTTGAAAAACATTTTTCCACTTATCATATTATCACTGACAGTACACGACGACAACAGACACAGGTGAATGCTATATGTACAGACATCTGTGTCTGTACATAAAAAAAGGACATACATACCATATGGTTTGTGCAGAAATAACATTTTTTTTATGATGGTAGACAAACTTATTAGGCTCAAGTAAAAATATATGTAAAAATAATGACATATATGTCAAAGGCATAAAGCGAGTATATTACCATTTATTAAAAAAATTTATTCAAAACACAGACCTACCCATTGCTGAATTCTCAATTGTAAGATCTGTTAGTCTCTCATATTCATTCACCTTTAATAAAAAGCAAATTAAAATGGTAATTTGTTGATTGTGTTTACTACCTTGCACTTGCTGGAAACTGTAGAGATTATCTCAAAAACTGTAAGACATAACCAGACAAATTTTCATCCAAACCAAAGTGGCAGCTCCATAAAAGGATCTGAGAGAGAGAATTCCTAAGTAATTGCTTCTACTGTCTCGTGTGAAATCTGTTTAAAATAGTTACCCCTGCCAAGGTGGTAATGTTTTCACCCCTGTTTGTTTTTTGTTTTTTGTCATCAACATAACTCAAAAAGTTATGGACCGATTTTGATGAAATTTTCAGGAACTGTCAGAAGTGGGCCAAGGAAGAGATGATTAGTTTTTGGTGGTGATCCAGATCAATAATCAATCAATAATCAATAATAATCAAAAATTGCTGCCTTGGCAGAGGTCTGTGCTTTTCTAGTTACAAATGAAGTGACTAAACTTGCCTCCACTTCTTCATCTAATTCTGCCAGTAGGTCTTTGATTAAAGGTATTGCTGATTTTTCTCCACATAAATGTATCTCATCTGCATTGACTCCTACAAATAAAGGATAAAGGGATAATGAAAGTAATCTAAGCCACATGACAATTTCTGTACATTTGACTGAGTGTGTGACTTGTGCTTTAGGTTTTCTTATGGAACTTTTGACTTAAGGCCTTAATATCAGTTGACTTATTATCCTTCTGGCATTGAGAAGAATAAAGAAAATCTGGTGATTATAGGAGTACATTGGAAATAAGAGGATATGTTTTAATCTGATCGCATCAGCATGAGGTCCAGCAAAGCTGGATCAACCTATGTAGAATGGGAATGAGCCCATAGATTCTGATATTAATTGTTCACCATGCAGATATACTTTAAGTACTTGAAAATTGCCTTCACTCTGTATCAGTTTACATTTTAATTTTTAGATCAAATGAGTCATGTATATACTTAATACCAAACTTTGGGACAATTTCTCCATTATTCCATCAAGTTATTGGCTCAGTACAGTAAGAAATAGGCTGAATAATTTAGGGCTTTTGCAATGAGGTATGTGCTCCTGTAAATTAGAACTAGCAGTATTTGTTAAACTCAATCTGAACCAGGGAACAGAAAAACGTTGTTTGTAGAAAGAGTATAGGGAGTTCGTTAAGGAGGATCTGCGAAATTACCATGATCACAAAAACAGACACATATGCACTCATATTGGAATTAATTTCACTTTTTTAGTAAAAAACCAACAATCTTCAGAAAACAGACACTAGTACTATGGTAACCACTATGGTAACCACTAAAACAACTACCACTACAACTGTAATGGGAAATAGGACTGTTACTACTATTTCTACTAATATGCTTACCCAACAATGCTCTTGTCCAAGCCCAGCCTCTGTTGTAATCTCTGATCATCTGGATCTCATCTATTACAGCAATTTCATCTGTGGCATTAAACAAAATGCATTACAATTTATACACCATAATCAAACACCTATTACTTTATAACCTCGGTTAAACAATATAAATGCAATTGTGTGCAAAGAGTTTGTAGGCATCTGTAGTCAATTTTAAATGTGCATACAGAATCACAGATACTCTCACATGAAACTGCAATATATCTACCCTCTGATATCAGGGCCACACTTAAATACTGTACAAAATATCACTGAAGGTTAGACAATATGGCATGATGAGACTACCCCACCTCTATCTGCCTCTTAAATGGTGGCTTACGTAACACAGACGTGGATGTGTGCTACTCAGCAATTAAGCGTGAGATCGTCCTCAATTTCAAATATAAAGGGTGTGTCTGGCAAGGAAATTATTCCTTCCATATAACACATGGTTGCTTTCAACATTTTTGTAACAGACTACTAGTGCCCCCTGTGGTCAGAGAGTACAATATGTCCATGTCTGCATATAGTCACATAGGGCAATTTTGCTTATTCATATATTGGCTCTTGTTTGCAGCACTAACTACAAAATTGTTTCTAGAGAAAAAGAACGAAAGCTTTAGCATACTATCTTCCAGAGAACTCCCTATCACTAAGTCTGCTGAGCAGTGCAGGCACAATCTAAAATGAATTACTTACAGTCAACTGTTGTATTGACCATTTCAACAGTGCAAGCCACGTGATCTGATATAATCCCATCTTCCTGAGCATACTTCCTCTCTTCTCCAGTCACTAAGTCACAATAAGTACCCTAAAAATAAATCAATATTCATATTTAATGATGAAATTGTGATCTATTTTGAATATCTTTTTAAAATTTTTTGCCAACAAATTCAAACTTAACCAAAGATTTAAAAATTCTGTATCATCATATTTTTCGAACCTACATGTCATTATCTACTAAATGTCACAAATTTATTAATGAAAGGTAAAAATCAAACTATGGCTACCAAACTGTTGGTTTTATTAAAGACTTCATTGGCAAGCAATTTGAGAGGCCCACAGTAAACTCCAGATTGAGATGTTGTGAAGCGTGTCAAGGCCTGATATGTCTTTCCACTATTTGTAGGTCCTGCGTGAAATATGATTTTCCTTTTCTTTTGTCTGGCTTCAGGATACCTAAAGATAAAGGGTTTTCTTAAAAATCAAGATACAAAAAATGTGGAATTTACAAGTTAGTGTGTTAAAAAAATTAAAAGAAAAATAGTAATAGAGTCTCCAGGATGTTTTGATGCATTATAAAAAATGAATCTCCCTGATATCTTCAATCTTGTTATAACTCAAAGCAGGGGTAGCGCTAGCAATTTTTTTGGCTTAGCCAAATCACCACTTTTTTATCAATTTGTTATCCAAATGGTTATAATTTGACTAAAACAAGCCAAACCAAGCCCTTTTTGTTTAGCCAATTAAAGTCAGTTTTAGCATTTGGCTGAATTGGCAAGTGTTACGCTACCCCAGCAAAGTTGACCACTTTCCCATCTTCTGAAATGAACATCCTTACAAATATCTTTTTAGGATAACCTTTTCTTCAACTGGCTTGAACAAATTAATCTATTTTTTGTGTTACTGCCCCTTAATTTTCAGTAAAATGTAAATTTCAAGCAATTGGGGGTATTTATTTCTCAAAAACTTAAAGCAATAATAACTCTTCCTTTGAGGTTCAAAAATCCACAAGAAATACATTGTAAACAACCCATGGAAATATATTCTATTGCAATTTACCACTAAAACGGCCCTTATTGTAGTAAAACTAAAATCTGTGCTTGTCAGTAGGGCTTTCGATGCCTTTCTTCCCGGTCGTCAAGGCATTTGTTGCCAATGACGTTTGGGTGTCACGCGGATTCTTGCGTTCATTCGAGACCAAAATAACATATGGCGCCAAACGCTAGTGCAGTCCGCAGACGCAAGTTGCGAGTTTTTGTACAGCGCGTCGGATAACGAACAGCCCAGAATGGCACACATTGTCAGGGTTCTCCCCAGGCCTTTATAGTGTATTGGCCCCGATACGCATCTTTTTTTGCCGATAGGCATCTCTTTTTGCCGATACGCTTCTTTTTTTGCCGACACGATTCTTTGAACTCCGATACCCTTTAAGAGTTTGTGTGTGACCAATGCCTTTAATCCTGACAGTCGCGACGTAAACGATTTGTGTGCGTACTTGGATCTCTTGTGTGCACGTTAAGTTGTTTATTTTTATTCTGCCTGGCGCAGTAATACAAGTATAACATCTTAATTTATGTTGAGGGCGTGGGACCTGCGTACTGACAAGTTTCGAATATCAACATCCGCTTATTAGTTTCGTCATCAATGTAATTCTGTGAGATTTGTTTGCTTTATCTATATTTTTGGAGAAATATAATAAATAGTCTATCCTTCATGTTATTTTGACTGAAGAATAGTAGCAGTCGTGATCATTTATAAATAAATGTACCCATGCGGCAAGAGAAAATATCAGAAAAGATGCAACGCTATTTAATACATTAGCGCTTGTCCGGGTCAGGTAAAAATTCAGCTCGGACAGGTGAAGTTGCAGGGTTGGCTGTCCGACAGACAGGTCATGATTTATGAGAAATTTGGAGCAAAAATCTTCTAAAAATCATTTTTGATGCATACTAACGTATTTTGTCTCCTCCTAGACGGTACTGAAAAGAGTGACCTACTTTTGGCACAAAACACGTGCAGTCGCAAAACGAAGTCTAAGCAAACTTACCGTCAAGTTATGAAAGTGAACACCCTCCAGAACTTCATCAGACAGACTTTATTCACATAACAGGCTCACTACTGAATATTTATTTGGTTAAAAATCTACGTGCTCTAGAGAGAAAGACCGTTACAGAAACAACACAAGTACTGTGCTTGTTACAAAGCCAGATTGGACTAGATGAACTGGCTGTATCTAGTTCGTTGTCCAGGCAACATACTGCCTGTCAATCAAATACGTTGTATGCTATCTACTCACTATAGAACGTGAAATCTTTGGGACTGAAGATCTTGTTGAAATATTGTTTATTTGCCAAAATATAACCTGAAATTTTGTATGAATTTTTCTTTAATGACTTTATCATCACCTATATTATTTACAGTTAAAAATTTAGTGCTGGAATATTATAAATTAACATTGCTGTCATATACCAATGTGATATTGATGTAAGGAAGAAATTAGTAATAACAAATATTAGAATTTAAATAAAAAGGGGAACTTTTTTATACTGATTTTATTTAACTCATATATTTAAGAAAATCAAACACATGATATTCCCTAAAAAGTTGAATTGTTAACATAAATATAAGTAAAGTATTATAAGATGAATATTCTTTAATTTTTCATTGAACTTTATTCAAATATTATAAAATTTGAATATTTTAATAAAATTAATCTAACAGTACCCCCTCCCCATCTGCCACTCAGGGTATTTATATTTTGCTTTGGTTAAACTTCATGTGAATTTGTTATCAAATTGCAGATTTACAATAAGCAGACCCTGTACCCAAAATCCTAGGAGAAGCCCTGATTGAAACTTTATAATGTTAAATCAGACTTATATGCAAGATTTAATCTTCAGGAGTTCACAAGTATGAAAAAATAACTTTTTATCTGAAAATAAATCCACTTTCAGGTGCATTTTCCGGCTCATTTAATTTAATGTCTTGGCAATAAATGCATTAAATGTATGACTACACATATTTATTTACACATTATCTACACATCCCTGGACCCCCCCCCCAC